AAAATAGTTTTCATATGTACCTACTTCCATACGTAGAGTATGTACGTAAGAGTTAAAAATATTGTGATGAAATAAAAGTTCGGTAAAAAGTAACATTCACAAACCAACTATAACCTATATCATAAAATTGTTCAGTTTTGTAAATTAAAAGTATTTTACTTGGATCTAATACCTATAGTTTAAATACTTTTCCCAGGGACTTATTGGTATAGGTAACTGTGTTTTACATGAAATACATATTGATTGATTAACACATTGATTAACATTGAAAACAAAAATCGATACTTCGTTAATTTTTACCTAAGTCATACAACATATTACATAAACAATAATACAAATGTAAGAGCAGCTTTATGTTAATTTGTATACATAGCTTGTGAACCATGGTTTCAAATTTATAAACAATCATTTTCAGAGCCACAAACCGTCCATTTCATTCAAAATAACAGTGTAATAAAACTGGAAATGCCTTAATAGAGATCCCATTTCCACAATCGAAATATATTATTTTATTCGTGTGTGATTTAAACTCAATCAAACTTTCAGATAAAGAAAATAAATGAAATAATTTATAAATTATAATTAAGCCAATCGATGCGTGATGAAATGTTTACAAAATTATTATATAGGCGTATTATAGGTCAAAAAAGGTCAAAAAACTACATTTGTAAATACGATATAATATTTATATAAATACTTTCAAGTTCTGGGCGAAGCGATACATGACATTTTCACTGAATGTTTATGTTAGCATTTTCCATACAATTTTCAAAATAATTTGATTCATTTTGAACAATTTGTAGGCAAATGAAATTTTTGATTAATGTCTATAAAAAATGTGAGCTCTCCAAAAAAACTTGAAAATATAATAGAAGGTTCCTCATAAGTTTTTTTGAGGGAAATTGAAAAGAAATTTGAAAAAATCCACAATATTTTTATGCGAACTGCTGAATTACAAATTATGACAAAATACATAAAAACGACGAAAATTTGCAAATTATTTTAAGTTAGAAATTCATACAAATTTTTCTTTTCATATCTATAATTTGAGCTTTTTAAGTTTACATTTTTACAGCATTATTCACTCTATTCTTATATATCGATTTTTTTATTTATATAAAAAGTTATAATTAATATAGTTATAATTCAAAAGCAAATAATTGCAGATACTTTAAATTTACACCATATTATCAATTTATATACTTGGTAAAATTTTGAAAATATTTTGACTCATTTTGAGCCGTTTTAGCACATTTTCAATTTTAAAATTTATAGTTAAGTTTTCTATAATTGTCAATAAAATTGTATTTGTTGAGTCAAATAGCTTGAAAATGTAATACAAGGCTTCTGATATATTTACAATATCAGTTAACGAATATTAAAAATATATAACCACGATTTTTTTTTATAAGAATTTAAAGTTCAAATTTTGACAAAATTCATATCATTCAAAATTTACAAATAATTGTATAGTAAGAACATTTTAAAATTTTCAACTTATATAGATGAGTGCTGAATATTTAAAACAAAGTTGCACGCTAGTAGGTTATTCTGTAACCAAAAAGTCCTCAAATATTTAAGCACAGTTTTTTTTTTTAGTTTTTTTATGTTCAAATGTGGACGAAATTACATATTGAATAACCAATAATAATGATTCAAGTTATTTTGTTGTAATTTAAAAATATTATTCGTGGGTACTTGAAACTTTAAAGTATATCATTATATTTTATACATACAATGATTAAAATATGTAAGTTTTTACAAAAATGATTTTAACATACAGTAGTTCTAATGACTAGTAGTAAAATAAATTACTTTAGTCACAATATATCATCAAATATAATAAGTAATATTATAGGCTGGCAGACCATCTTCGCTCAGAATCGTATTTCGTGTACAATATTTTTATATCATTGAATTCAAATTTAACACCATAGCAGTGACCCAATTGTAACCTACAGTACAGCAGAGTGACATCCACTTACCCGCTTTTTTAAAAGTATCTTTATCATCTGTACTGGAATACTTTTAAAGAGTATAATTTATCTTTTACGAGACTGCTATTGCTATAAATATATCTTTATCTATTTACACAGTACAGTAATTTATTATTATAGTCACATTATATAATACATAATATCTGCAGACATTTCATTCATTTTTTTCTTTATTTTCAGACCTTAGAGATCGAGTCTTGACCACATATCAAAATTAGAATCTCAAACAATTATCGGTTTTCAGACATGAATAAAATGAAATAAATAACATATACTTACAGTTTATTTTAGTATGCTGTCTATACGGCATTTTAACAGAAGATAAAAATATTATAATTAAAATTTTATTATTATTAATGCATAAATCACCAGGAATCTCTTGTACTTGAAGAATTATCGGACCTAGATCTTGCAACGGAATATTTTATTCAAAACGAAAAATATTATTTTTACTACAACCATCAGGAGACCTAGTTTTTTTTAGCTTTTCGTTGAAAAAAATGAAAAATGAAACGTACCAATTTAAAAATTCTATTCAGAAATGTATGATTTAACTTCTCTGGTATTTGTTAATTTTCCATTAGCCGCCCGTGCAGCAATGCCTCGGTTTTAGTTGCCCGTCTATTTCATACAGAATAATAATGTTTCCAAATTTTCCGGGAAATGATCTGGCTTTTCGGGCTACTGAATTTCATCAGTATCATTACCTATATAGCATACGTCTACTCGGGTAAATAGTACAAATAACATATTTTAATACATGCGGAATTCGTGTAACAATAAATAACGCATTTTATATTTTATGCACTAACACACACATGTGTCGCGTTGTGTTGTGGCTCGTCGTCGCGACGTCGTAAGTACCTCCCATTAGTCGTCAGCGTGTATACTATAAAATGCCGACTCTATGTGGCCGTAATTCCATTTCAAAACGTATGCGCGTTACATGACACACGATGTCATTATGATAAAAATGTGAGATTTGTTTTTTTTTCTGTCGCGTGTGGCGAAATTATTGGCGGGAAAAATGTTTAATTATATGAAAAAAAATACAACACGTCGTTACCGACGGCATAATATTATTATTGATTACCTACGTTCGAATTAGTGTCGGCGGCGGCGGCTCAGTGGCTGCTGCCGCCGCCGCCGCCACGTCCATGAAGTTGGCCGCCGCCTACGTTGCGCGTACGAGTCGGTCGTATGCCCGTATATATAATATATATGTATATATATGTGTATATATGTGCACCGGGTTCCGACGAAACCCACGACGGTCCCAAAGCGCAAAGCTCTGAAGGCACATCGGCATAACGAGGGAAGGCCTCCCCCCATCGATAACCGTTTTCAGACCCCCCCCCCCCTCGACACATGGCATTTATCCAACCGAGGTTAGGGGGGTAAAAAAACTTTGTCAAGTTCAGTTCAATGGGTATGAATGTATGATATTTATTAATTAATAATGTTTATTTCCCAGGGTTATTCAAAACAAATCATCACCCTATGCTTCCTCGGTCAGCGGATCTTACGCCGTATGATTATCATTATTTTAGGGATGGGTTAAAGAGATACTGTAGCTGTGTACATAGTACACTATTATTGTCAACTACGGGAAAACTAGAAAAAAATATCGGAGCAATTAGAGCGGATCTGCATGGAAATATGGAATGAATTTGAGTTCCGACTAGACTTAGTTTTATTGTGACCAAGGGAAGCCACATAAAACATATTTTATAGGTAGCATTAAATAGTAATGAAATCTTAGAAATTTATTTTATGTGTTTAATGTAACGCATATATTACTCTAAACCTAAAAAATAAAAACATATTAAAAGCAATTGCAATCAGATGAATGATGTAGAAAAACCATTTATAGTGTAAAATAAAAACATATATTGTTGTTGGTTATTCCAGGTTTCGCAGAAATAATTGTTGTGTAGCGATGGACAACAATATAAAGTAATAATATAATTCATTCATTCATTTTTTCGCAGTACCTACCTATGAGGAGAATAAATTATTACATATATTACGTCGACCATGTCACAAAATATACTAAGCTATACTAAAAATAAAAAGAGATATTTACAAATTACGATTGCAAAATATTAAATAATATTATGCTTATTTTAGAATAACAAATACAAACTTAGGTCAGCTAGGTCTACTTATTTTATCATTTATATTAGATTTTTAACGACAAGGGGCCAGGGGGGGCTTTTAATTCTATTTTGTATTTTTGATTTCTTTAGCCCATGTAGGCTGTAACCGCTAAATCCTATAGACACCCATGATTTCGTTCGCAATAACAACAATAACAACGATAACAATAATCACGACGATCGTAAAAACACGATATTAATGTCGTAATAATATTATCGTTATTACTATTACCGAGAAAAAGCGGCGTTGCCCACCGACCCGTCTAAACTTTTGCATGTAAACTTTTCCACGAGAGGGGTGGTCGTTCGGCGAGCGTTTTCCACCCTCGCTGTCTCCAACCACCCCTCGCATATAATAGTAATAATATTACAATATACCTCCGCATTAGCCCTGGACAATATTATTACATATACGATCGTAAAAATAACGATATTGTCGGTAGTGCGGTTACGAGCTGCAGCAGCAGCTGATGGTCTGGCTCGGAAATCCACACGGTCGAGGTGTTTAGTGAGAGGGGGGGAAGCTAGGGGGCACCTGTGCGCGGTAGAAACCGCATCTCCGAGACCAGCGGTATATTTTTTACGGTAAGCCGGCAACACTGTCGCGCGGCGACGACGGCGGATCGCTGGCCGCTGCTGCAGTCGCCGCCGCCGCCGCGTACCATATTGATTATTTTCCAGGTCATATTTCGTCCCGACCAATGAGCTGACATTTTCCCCGACGCTCGCCGTCCGTCACCGCCGCCGTACACCGGTGCCGAGCGTGCGCGTACCGAACGCTTGAGCGCGCCGCGCGGCCGTGCGTGCGCGCGCGCGCGAGTGCACCGGCGCGCGGCAGTGTGCGTGTGCGAGCGTTACGGCGACGACGACCGTGTGTTGTTGTAGACTGTAGTGCGCGTTCACGTTTCTCCCCGCTCGCTCGCTCTCTGCGTGCGTGTGCGCGACCGTATCCTCTCGCTCTCGCTATATCCAGTCCCCCGGCACCCACCAGCCCGTCCACCATACACCGCGCCGCACTCTCGCTCGCTCGCTCATTCGCACCGAACGTGAGCGCTGCCGGTGGTGGGGGGGTCGTGCGACGTCAGTGAACGCGCGCAGGCACCGCACGTCCGATCTCGGCGGAATTTATCGCGTACTCCTCCGTGGCGGACGCCGATAACGCGTCGTTTTGTTAACAATTTTTTTTTTTACGTTTTTGAAAAACGCGTACGCGCGCACGTAATCAGAATAATAATAAAAAAATCGTACACACACGCAGACGCGCAATCTCAACTAAAACGACTGCAACAATAATACGACATAATGCCCATTCTGCGCCGGGTACGTTCGCTTCGCATGTCTCTAAAACAGCTAACGATTAATGATAATAATATCAATATATTGTGATAAAAAATCAAAAAGAATTCATAATAATTTCGCACGGGCCACAGCGATCGTGTTAAGGTATTATAAAATTTCGTGCGGCCGTGACATAATAATATTACAATAATATTATATAATATAATATAAATTTATATTATATATTAAATCTCGTCTACGTTCGGTGTGTGCGCCAGCCGAGCCGCTTGGAAAGACGACGACGACGGCAAAGCCAGCCACGACGAAGAGGCGACATCCGCTTCTCGACTCCGGCGAAAAATATTATTATTAATTTTTATCATAATCGCGAAAAATGCAGCGGCGGTCGGCGCGTACGAACGGCGCCGTTGTGGAAACGCCGCGGCGGCGACGATCGTAGTGCGTTCGCGCCGTGTGCGTGTGCGTGCGTGCGTACGTGTGCCGCGCGCGCGTAGGCAGTGTGCGTGCGTGTGTGTGCGCCGCCGTCGGTGTGCGCCCGCGCCGGTGTGTGTCGGTGTGTGTGTGTGCGTGTCAGTGTGCGTGCGCGTGTGTGTGTGTGTGTGTGTGCGACGGCGGCGTTCGTACGGACGCGACGCGCCTTGGGTGAGAGCCGCTCGCAATAATAATATAGCAATCGCGCGTACCGGATAACGTAATAACAATAACGACGACGGCGGCGGCGGCAGTGCAGCAGCAGCACCTCCACACGGTCGCCGCGGCAGCAGCAGCAGATTGGAGCGGCTGCTGTTAGATGCAGGTGGCCACTTTGTTCCGCGAGTCGGCCAATCTACTCGGTGCCGCTATGGAACCCGGTTCGTCGACGGACAGCAATTCGCCCTCTCTGAAGCAACAGCAACAGCAGCAGCAGCAGCAGCAACAACAACAACAGTAAGCACCGAGCTTTACGGTTTTTTTAAAAAAAAAAATGTATTTTTAATTTTTCCATTTCGTCGTTTTTTTCACGAAATTTTCTACCTGCCTATTTTTTCCGCGCATATTATCACATCTCACGGCCAACAATTATCATCATTATCATCATTATTTTTATCATTGTCATCGCTGTATTATCATCACACCACTCATTGCCGGGGGAGGGGGTAAAATCGTAGTGATACGCGTTAATATTTTTAAAACAACTCTACACGCTAACGCCCCCGCCTAGGGGGGGAGGTGGTCGATGTTGATGAGGATGAGGAGGCGGCGGTGGCGGCGGCGGCGGCGGCGAAGACAAAGACTGGTTACCTACACGGTTTTCCGTTTTTCCGAGCTGGTGTTTGTTCGTGTGTGTCGTATGTCTGTTTGTTGGGGGAGGGGACCGAACTCTGATGGGGGGGTGTGCATGTGTGTGTGTGTGTTTTTTTGCGAGTACTCGAGAGTCGAGACCGATAGTTGTGCGGTCGGTGTTGGCGTGTGTAGTTTATTTTTTACCGTTTTTAAAATAATATAATATAAATATATTATATGCATATTTTTTTTCCCCACCGGATACGGCTCTTCGGCTTGTCGTGTGTGCGTGCATACGGTACGTGTGTGTGCGCCCGTCCGTACGTGTGCGTGTGCGTGTGTACGTGAATGTGTACGCGAGTGTGCAAACTGCAAAGCACACGCGCCAGCCGCCCGATTATACACGGCCGTTTGTCGGTGTGTGAGTGAGTGTTCGAGTAAGTGACTAGTAAGTGTGTGTGTGTGTGTGTGTGTGAAAAATATAACGCGACGACTATTATAATGTACACGGTTACCTACGATTTACCCGCACGCACACGTAATCGACGACCCACCGGGGCAGGTAGTGCTTATACGCATAATAATAATAAATAATAATAATATTTTACCTAGGTAACGTTGTAATAATGTCGTGTACACGTATATTGTAGTGTACAGTCTAAAATAATAGTCCGTCGATCGGGGTGCACTTGGGCAGTCGCTGGCCAGCACGATAACGCGATAATCAGGTGCTTGCGCTTCTGCTTCGGCAGTGGTTCTTTACGAAAACCACTCGACACGGATTTTGGTAAAGTTGTGCGTCTGGTTTTTTATTTTGGGGTGAGCAAAACTCCTCGCCGTTCATCGTCATCGGCCGTTTTTGTGTAGGTTTAATGCTGTGCCATCGGTTTTTTACCTACGTGTAGATGTCTATGTTGCAAAATATTGGTAGGTATACGTTTTATACCTTTTTTTTTAAGTACGGTGTTTGATAACCATTTTAAAAAAAAATTCATGTTTCGTTATCAGTATATAACATTATGTCAGATTGGTGTATCTTATCTTCATAAATAATTATTTATGTATTTCAGCACACCATTCCTACTAAAACAGTTACCTATACAATGTGTAACAATATTATTATAAGTATTGGAAGGCACTTAGAATATATATCAGCGTTTTAATCATACCATAGCTGTTATATTATATTATAAACATGTACATGTATACTAATACTACCTGTTCCTGTTAATATATTATATTTAGATTATGGTCACACTTTTTGTCTGTTAAACAATAAACGGTTAATGTCTTATTTGATTAAAGTATAAACTTGATAGGTAAGATGCTTCTTAACATGAATGATAAAACAATCCAACATTAATTAATATTTACTTAACAAAATTGTATTGATGTTTAGCACCTAACTATTTGTTTAAAAGAGTATAAATAAATGTTAGTTTTGGTGTAGGTAAATAGTACCTTCTTTAAAAATATATTCCTTCCTTTACCTATAGCTGCTTAGTTAACAAGTGTATTTAGTCCAAAATAAGTAATGCAAAGCTTTATGTCAATAACCCAAACATTTTGGATAAAATAATCACAGATAAAGATTTCTTAGTTCTATTCAAACACTATGGTGAATGAAGTACTCATGCAATTTGATCATGTTATAAACACCAATTTATCAAACATAGGAAGAATAGGTGTTGCCATAAAAGTAAAAAAATTTAATTTTCTAGTTAGTATCACAAATTAACATTCATTGCACATTAAATAGGCCATAATATGTGGTTGGGGTAATATTGTATTTGAAATGTACAATCAGGTACCTATGGAGATGAATTTAGTATAATGTCTATTTCTTTTTTAATCATTAACTACTCATTAAGTATTAATATTTAATTCAATTGAGAATTATATTTCACTTATTGTTAATAAATAGGTTCCTATGTCAAAGGTAACCTTGAATTAATGTGTATTAAACTGGCAAGCCTCTTACTAACTAAATTTACAATTTTTTTATAACTGAAATTGTGTGAGTTTATTCTTGGAATTTTCAAGTAATCTCTATAGTAGGTAACAAGTAATTGATAGTATTTGTATTATAAATACTGTTTTGGTTTTGAAACATAACAATTATATTGTACGTATTCATATAATAATAATTTTTGGTAGGTACCTTATGTTCAGATTAAAAAACTAATTTGTGAGCTTAAATTCCACATATTTGTCAATTTTTCTTATTTTTTAATCAATAGGTATTTTAACCCAATTTTTTTATAAAGTTGTTGACATCTCATCAACTAATGAAACACATATCTGGGTATCTATTACCTGCCTACATATTTCTCATTAAGTTCTCTAATTTTAACACCATGCTAACATTTATTAGATACAATTTTAGAAATATAAATAGATACCATACATAGTTTACAATTTAATCAACTTTAATTCAAAAATGGCTGGAAAGTGTATATTATATGATTGGCGTTATTGTAAATGTCAACATATTTATGTCTATTTTAATGATGAGTATTAAAATGTAAATCCATTGTAAGGTATTTGTTTAAATAACCGATAAGTATGATATCTTTAGTTCATGGTTGTGAAAGAAAAGTAGCTAATTGTATATACATATACATTTTGCTAATCTATAGGGTTTTTTGTAAGTAGTACACTAATGAATTGAATGTCTTAATGTTTATCTCTTAATGAAAACATTTTACTGATGTTTAATACATCTATTGAATGATTTATTATAAAACTTAGATAATAAATTAAACAAACAGAATCCACCTCATATATTTTGTGTAGCATGTTCATTTTTCTGCTATAAGTAGGAAGATCATATAGTGTGACAATCGTAGACAATTTTTAATTTGTATAGGTATCTATAGTTGACTATTTATATAAATTAAAACAATTAAAAAAAAAAACATTACTTAATTGTCTATTATGTATTTTACTAATTATTTTTATACTAATTATTCCAGTTAGTATCAGTTTTCTAACAAAACAAAAAAAATTGATAAGCACGGATTAGGTAGTTTTCTACTATCATAATTTGTTCTAATTGAATTCCCCATTAATTAATGAAGTTTAATAATGACATTTTTAAGAGATGTCCATTAGCAAGGAAAATGTAAATATTGATATTATTATTTAATTTGTTTGTTTATTCAATATAATATAATTTAATGGTGTTTTTTTTTTTTAATGACAAAGTTTGAGCTGAATTTTTTGTTTATCTATTAATGGATGTTTACCACTTTTTGGATTTTTCTTATTTTGCATAAATTATACCATATTGTGTTAAAGTATATTTCATTTAAATATTAGGTAACTAATAAATACAAGGGGACAAACTATTTTAAAGAATAATGGTTTGTATTTTGGACTTTCAGAACATTTAGGTATTTACATTTTCTTCAAAAGTATATTTTATATCTTATACTCAATCAAAATATTTATTAGGTATAAGTATATTATAATGTACTTATATCACCTATACAAGATTCAAATTATATTTTTATCATTCCACCCTAGATATTATTCATCCATGTCATGTTAGGAAATATATAAATATATTTTGTATTTCACTATGACTATGTAAATTACTTTGAATAAACAGATTCAAATTGTAACTGTTAGCTATACTGTTTATGATTATACCTACTGCAGCTTATTAAGTTGAAAAAAGAGATTAATCTAAAATAGTTAAATTTCATTCAAGATGTGGCATATTAATTATGTATCTTTCTTTCTACAGCATTTTTATGTGTATATAATATATGTAAATATGCATTGTTATTAAATAATTGTAATTCTTCAATAATTTAATGTGTGGTTTTGGTCCAAAAACATAACAATTTATTTTGCTTGATAATTACTTATAATTTAGTATGAAAGATTTTAAATACTTAAAAGGTACCTACCAAATTAATATTTGATATGAATACATTTTAAGTATTTTGAAGCCAAACTTAACCAACCTAATCACAATCAATCATGTGAATAATTAAATTAAGTTTCTGTACAACACAAAAATGACTATACATATTTGACAAAATTTGGTTTATTTTAATGGGTAAAATGAATGAATAATCTAGAAGGTATAACACTTCTATATGTTTATATTATATAAATTGTCATTTAAAGAGCCATCTTGCCATAATCATAACCTATGTAAATATTGGTACCTATCATACTTAACTCAGTATTAAATACTTGAGACTGGGATTGTTAATGATAATTGTAAGCTACTTTAGTTAGTTAAACAAAAAACAAATAAAATTGAATAACTTAAAATCACTTTTTATTGCGATGTTTTGGCAAAGTGAATTACAAAGTTCATTGATAAAATATTATTTGTCTTCATTAAATACAAATAAAGTTTTTATTGCAGGTACTTAATTGAGAAATTGACTAATTCCCTCTATACAGAATATAAAAATCAATTCATTCAGAATATAATGTAAACTAAAATACTACACAAGTGGTAACTAAACAAAAAGTCAGAACAATTTTAAATGAACAAGTTAAGTTATTGTACAAATTTATGTACATTTTTGAATTAAATTAAATTAAACATATTACGTGTAATCCTGTATTTGGTATTTTTTTTTAATGAATTACTAGAATATAATAAAAAAATTATAAATCCAATAAGATTATAAAGATTACTAGAATGCTCTCAGCTTTGTGTTACTCTGTTTGCAAATAGTGTAGCCATATTACAAAACTTTTTAAAATAATTTAGTTTAGATTTGGTGCCTACATGGTATAAGTATATTATGTAACAAAATTGAATTTTTTCATTAAATAATAATAAAATTACAAATATTTAAAAATTATTTAATATCGTTCAGTATTTTAAAAATATATTATAATATGAGACAATGTCAATACTTACTTATATATTTTATTAGATATGTTAGATAGATAGGTAAAATATTTATTTATTGCATGAAAATAGAAAAAGTTTATTATATTTCGATGTTAAGTATTTAAAAATATTGTACCTACTTAATTTGAGTTATTATAGATTTGTCAAGGAGAAAAAAAAGTAGTCAACATTAAGTGTTTCAATTTATTCACTTTTCGATGTTAGTGTTTGCAAGTATCTACCGAGTGCATGTGCGACTAGAATTCCAAAAACGAGTTCCAATTTTTTATCTTTCGTTTGCACATTTTATTTTTCAAACCGGGTTGGATCGACTTGCTGGTCGTGGTCAAGGTTGGAGGGGTTGGGTTGTAGTGTAACGAATTGATACAAGATGTGTGTATAATACAGCCAGACTTTCTGTTTTCGAGCGGACTCCGTGCCGAATAAAAATACCTACCTATCTGATATGTGAATAATTCTACGTTTTTTAAAATTCTTATCGCGTTCAATACAGTCATAATAATATATTATTTTATCATCCAAATAATAATAATAGTATTAGTACCTATTATAATATTATATTATTGCGTTCCTGAAAAATGTTTCGTGCGATCGAATGTGGTGTGCCCGCATCGACCGACACGTTCATGCGCGTGCGCGTAACGCATCGCCATGGTGTGGCGCAAGTTGGAGGCTACTACTATGGCGAATGCACACATGCACACACGCACACTAATTATTATCGTTTACACGTCACACGACTGCGATATCGCCACATCATTAGTTTTGTTCGCTTTCGACGCTATTTCTCTCGGTGACAGTTCGCCACCTAACGACCAGAAACCAACGATTTAATACACATGTTATCGGTTGACAATATGAGACGGACGACGTTCCCCGGTCTTGTTTTTTACACCATCGCGGGGGAGACAACAAATTTACATAAAAAATAAAAATAATATCCGTCTGATTTTCATCATCGTCGCATAATTATTATTATCGCCATGTTTTCGAGACGCGGTGACCCGTTCTTATACGATATAATAATATTATTATTATGTATACATCGTCGCATCTCTATGTACATAATTTATTATTGTTATTATGTCATCCTCGCTCAGAGAATAATAATATCTTCATTATCTTCTGTTTTGTTTAACCGTGCTCCTCTCCCCCTTCCACTTCCATCTATCTTGCTATCTGTACAGAGTAAAGGCTTAACCTAATGTTGATATTATTATTGTTGTTGTTGTTATGTTGTTGTTGTAGATGCACAGTACCGTGTCCCTTCAAAGATTTTGTGCTACCACAGTAATAACGTGCTAGTTTCCCGGGCGGTTTTAAAATCAATTAGCCTCAAAGATTATAGTAACGAATTCAGCGTATTACAGGAGACGTGTGTGTGGTTCTAATAATAGGAATAATAAGTTGACGATGTTATAATATTCTGAACGCGCGATGGAGTTTTTGGGTGTGTGCAAAATGTCAGCGTCTCTTGTTGACGGCGAAACGCGAAATGCTTGTACAGGATGTGCGTATGTCCCTCGGTGTTCCGGATTTTCAAGTGGCGGGGACTATGGAAACTCCATCACCCCGCCACCGAAAAGAGCTCCCGAACGCCGTAGGATACCACCATCATATACACACAGCTTTCAAAAAAAAAAAAATTAATCAATAAACTTCCTCGATTATACACCACCACACCCCCACCACTACAACCACTCACCAGCAGGGATGATTTAAACTACACATTTGCCATATACGCATGTATTGCGTTTTTGGTTTTAATAAAAATACATTTTACCTAATCAAATATAATATGTTGTCGTCGTGTCGTCTGTCAATTGAGCCGATTGACCTGTACCGATTATATACTTGAAATACGTGAAAAAAACCGATTAATTATAGGTAGGTAACCTACCTATATAATCCCTTGGCGTTTATTGGCGCTATGTTGTTAATTAATAAATAACATTTTTTTTTCTAATACGTTTTATACATAATATGGTTGGTCCTTAGCTCATAACGATTGTACTTAACCTCTACATGACCGTTACTAATATAAACAATATTCAATGTCGTGTTGATTTTATATACACAGGTACAACTTTTATTTATTTAAAAATAATCGTTTTTAATGGCTATCTATTAGATTTTAAGAGTTAATTAACAATTTTCAGTACTGGAAACTTACTTTAATTCATTATGAAATACATATTCTGCAGGATGGAGGTTTTTATAGGGTTCGTTATTAAATTATTGATGTTTTAATTGTATTTTTTTTTAATATTTAGTTTACCCTTAATTACCTGTTATATTTAAAAACCAAAACAAGTTTAGTCTAGTTAGTTTACGTACAGTAGGTATTAATAATAAGACAGCGTGGTGTATACAACAGTTCGAGGTACTTTATATAGTTTATACATCTATATAGGTGCGTTTAAAAAACTTTTTCACTTTGCAAACTTTACTGCAACACGGTGTACCAATAAAACTCTTTACAATATTTCTAACGGTTGTTTCAGTTTGACGTATAATATTATGTATTGTGTCGCTATATATAATACCGTAGTAGACTCGATTGTATATTCGTTTCAAATATTGTGATGTTATTTTTATTTTATCGCCGGACAACGAAAAACAATGAAATATTTCGCTGTTGAGTGTGGACCTTTAGGAATGCACACGGATATTTTTTTTTTTTAAATATCCCATACCCTCCAAAATAATATTAAGTTCAACGACCATTGTATAAACCCCGGTGGCGGTGGCGTTCAGTTCTCTACGACCTCTGTTCCTGCAGCCCTGTGCACGTATCCTGACCAGGTTGCCTGTTGTGTTGGCCGGAATCATAAATCAATACACCCTGCCGCGCGCGCCGCCGCCGCCACCCAGTTCGCTAATCTCCCTCTTTCTTATTCTCCCCTCCCCCACGGTCCCGCCTACCCCATGACCCATCATATACCCGACGCCGCCCCTCCCCACCACTTCTGCACAACTCTTTCCCTCATCCCCTAATCACTCCCACCATTACACGTATGGACGTCCCGCGTGCGCAAAACTCTAACTCGCTTAACGTTGGAACCGGTACGAAGTTTTGATCAAACGAAACCCAACGGGACGATCCTATTACAGTATTACGATATGGTATAATTGTTGTCGGGCAGGTACCTGCGTCTAGTACCGTAACTTTTGCGTATTATTGCCATGGAAATGGATAGATAGAGTCGGTACCGTCCAACTTATGTTTTAATATAACGAAGCCACCTATGGGAACATCCCCTCCCGAGCACACCTAATTTCGTTCAACCCGCCGTGCGAAACCATCGCTACACAGTATACGTACATCCGCAGTACTGTGTTCGGGAATTGATTCCACTCGATTCACAGAATTTTATTTTATAATAAATATTAATTCACAAATTTGGACTCGAGTCTGTGTTGTACATTAAGTCTTACAATTCAGTTCAGATGACTGATGAGAAGTACTAAAACAAAAAATAAAGCATTATTCCCCATGACCTATAACGTAAAAGTTATCTATCGACGTGTGAACGGAAAGCTATCATTCTGCTGCAATGCTACTGGGGTAGAGTCCATTCCATAATATTATATAATCGACCGTGGGTATGAACTTTTGAATAAAAAAAACTACTTAATGCGTGTTTATGATAATCGTCGTTAGGTACGTTCTCTAGGCGTTGGAGTAATACGCATATTATTACCTTAGTTCTTCCGTCAAAATATTCTCGGAAATAATATAACACACGGTCAACACCTACCTACCCGCAATAATGTGCTCGATGCTCGTTTCACGCTCAAATCGACCGTATTTCTTCGTGTTATTATTTATTCAACGAGTTTCGTTTCAATATTTAATTTGTCCCTTTTTAATGCAGCAATTCCGTTTCTTAATACTATTTTTTCAGTTGTATTGACTTGACGTACTAAATAATAATATTCAATATTCGAATGTGGACTACAGTAACAAGAATTTTATTAAATCCTTTTTCTTAAAACGAAATATTAAATTCAATGTAAACTTGTCGTATTATTTGTTATTGTCGTTATATACATAACATTATTAGATTGTAGGCAGTTTTAACTTGTATTTATTAGGTAAAACATAATTCATGATATTCTCGATGTATCAAAACTATTTCTAGATATACACAATAATTGGATGCTTGTATTTATTACACAATCTTTGTTAATAGTACATGATAACATATGTAATACGTCATGTTATGAATTAAAATTTAAAAATAGCCTACACAATAGTTTTGTTATTTGTCCATGTCTTGAAATTATTGTGTACAAAGCAAATATAAGTTTCTTAATATAAATAAGGTTTTCCCTGGTTAATAATTGTACTTAAAAAGTAAAAAGTAACAACTAACTAGTATTGCTTTTAATACTTTGTAGTAGGTAATTAACTTTTAATTAAATTCTAGTACAAGCATTTAAAAACTATTTTGTTTAAGTTTTAATGCTATAGTTGAGTTTATAATTGAATAACTCATTTTTATTCAGGGCTGTTATATGAATGCTATTAATTTTCCATTAAATTTGAATTAGAAATAATCACATCGTTTTCACACACCTATTTTAGTGATCCGCCCGACTTACATTGGTTCATTTTTACCTCTTATCTTTTCATAATAGTTTAATTATTGTAATTAATTGGTTGGTTTTAAAATGTTTGCAGATCTAATAATTATGGTAATTGTGATGTTGTTAACAATGGACCTCAGCCAGCATCTTCTGTAAAACAAGAATCTGCCTGTGCAGATGATGGATATGAAACTAGTGGTGGTGGTACCGATGCTGAACAAGCTGCAGCAAAACATTCGGCCGCAGTAGCCGTTGCAGCAGCTACTGCTGCTGCTGCAGCAGCAGCAGCTCAGCATCATAATAATATTATGAACCAGTTACCTCCGATGCATCATCATCAACAACAACATATGAATACACACATGCATCCACATCACCATGGTCATGCTCATCATCATCATCAAATGAACAACATGCAACAACACCAGATTAAGTATGATATGCCTGATGATCCATATAGTTTTGTTGATGAAGAAATGCAGCATCATGGTCAACAAAACTTACAATACACTGAAGAAATGATTCTACAACACATGCCAAAGAAGCGAGGCAGGAAGAAAAAATTCAAACCTGAGGATCAGATGAGGTAAACTAATATATGATCTGTATTAATATTATTTTTTGTTATTATTAGATGCATATTTAAGACATATAAATTATTAAATTATGTTTAGTTTGCAATGCTTAAACCCTGATCAAGCATTTGGATTGATGCAACATATGTTGCCAAAAGATAAACTTTTGACAAATCCTTCCAAGGTATACAAGGAAAGAAAAAAACATGACCGTTTTAATGGTATGCCTGAAGAAGAGGTATCAAAGCGTACTTTACCTGACCATCTAACCAATAATTTAGATATTGTAATTGTGAGTAGAGTATTTTTTTGTTGTTATTTTATTATTACTGCTGTTTTATATAAATTAAATTAATTTTTAATTTATCTTAAACATTTTCAGATTGGTATCAATCCTGGTTTATTTGCTGCTTATAAAGGTCATCATTATGCAGGTCCTGGAAATCATTTCTGTAAGTAAATACATAGTATTCTAAATAAGTTAGACATTTATGTATGCTATATTACCAACTTATTTTATTTTACATTCATAGGGAAATGTTTATACCTATCTGGTCTTACACCAGAACCCATGACTGCTGATGATGATTATAAACTTCTTCAAAATGGTATTGGGTTTACCAATATGGTGGAACGAGCTACAAAAGGTAGTGCTGATCTCACAAGAAAAGAAATTAAAGAAGGTTTGTTTTCTATAATTTATTTAATAATGTTTTTAATTTTGTAGATATCAATTATTTTATGTTTCTTATTGCTATATATATATATTACTATACAGTCTTTCACAATAACTCAAAAAAACTTGACAACTCACTTTTTTTTACTCTCCTTGAGGTTAGGTTAAATTTGAATTAAATATCTCAAATACTTTATACCTTGAAGAGTTTTTTTTATCTCCCTTCAAATTCAAGTGATGTACTGTATTTTATTACATCAATATTATCCATATTATCTCAATCAATATCCAATATCTTCTATTATTTTTTTAATTTGAAGTTATATTATCTAATACATGTATAATTATTGCAAGTAACTAAATTTAACTTTCATAAGTATCTCTTGAAAATATTATAGATCGATTTAGAATCATTTTTCCACTTCATTATTTTATACTATCTATTTACTTTTGAATGTTAAAGTATTTGATTAAAACTTCTTTGACAATCAATATTATGTTTATTATGATTTAAATTTTTTATTATTTACCCTTATATTTCTTCTCTACTTCATAAACAACAAGCAGCACCAATTCAATAAGAATAAAATATTTTTCAATTCAATTTTAACAATTTCTTATTATTTTTTTCACTTTAGGAAGTCAAATTCTTCTCGAAAAGCTACAACGATTTAAACCAAAAATTGCAGTATTTAATGGAAAACTTATTTTTGAAGTGTTTTCTGGGAAAAAAGATTTTACATTTGGTCGTCAACCAGAACTCGTAGATGGAACAAATACGGTAAACTTTTATTTATTTACTATTAATACTTGGTATTTATATCATAACTGTCAACTTTATTTTGAATGTATCTTTTATTTTAAGAAATAGGTTAACAATTTATTTTCCTAAATTAATCAGTTCTTTCTGTTGCATCATGCTATCATGTATAACAAATACAATAATCTTTTATAGTAAAGCATAATTTTAACAAAAATATTTGATGTTTCAAGTATTATAAAAATAATTTTAAACTAGTGTTTTAAAATAATCAAACAAATAGATACCACATATTTCAGCAACTTTGCATGTCGTCATCATCAGTACTGGACATAGATATTAGCATTGGTGATGTCCACATTGTTATTGCATTAAGTATTAAGTTGTATAGTAGATCGTATTGTGTTGTGGATAGGGTCCTATTAGTTTCATGTTATAAATAAAAACCAATTATTAAAATAATTTCCACCAATATTTTGTGTATGTTCTTACATTTACACACTGAAGATTGTAACTTAATTTATGAAGTAAATTAATCATTTAGAATTTAATTACATTACTATTGAGTATATTTTATATTTCTTATGTTTTATATCACATAAATTAATACATTTTTTTTTTTACCATTTTTATAGTATATGTGGGTAATGCCATCATCTAGTGCCCGTTGTGCACAATTGCCACGAGCAGCTGATAAAGTACCATTTTATGCAGCGTTGAAGAAGTTTCGAGATTATTTAAATGGTCTGGTGGCCGAAATTGATGACAGTGAAGTGGTATTCTCATTTACTAAATTAAAAAATTATTATGAGCCAGATATCAAAGAAGAACCTAAAGATGAAGTGCCATCAGTGTATTTCAACAATTATAATTCTGTAGTTGAAAACCAAGAAACATTAGAAAATATTGCCGATGTTAAGGATGAACCACCTGTGGTTCAAAAGAAAAAACGAGGGCGACCGAAGAAAATAAAAACTAAAGATGGAATACCTGAAGAAGTGAAAGTCAAACGCCCTAAACCTCAGGTAGTAGAAGAACGAGAAGGAATGCCTAAAAAGAAAAGAGGCCGGCCAAAAAAAATTAAGCCTGACCCAAATCAGTTACCACCAACAAATAATGTTGTGCCACCAGTTTTGTCTTGTGAACACAGTAACCCATCAACTCAATTATCTAATTGTTTCTCTCCACCAATTCAGTCTCCGATGAACTTGTCACAGTTATATGGAGGAAATAATGTTATAAATAATATATATAACAACCAAAGCTCTTCACATTCACCAATATCTAATAGTGGCGGTGGTGGTGGAAGTGGAGGTGGCGGTGGTGGTGGCAGTAGTGGTGGAAACAACAATGCGAATTTTCACCATCATCGTTCGCCGATTCAATCTCAACAACATAGGTATTCACAGTCACCACAAGCTCCATCCTTCACACATTCTGATTTGTCATCAGAAATCAGTGCAGCTATCTCTTCAGAACATAATTTAGGATCACGATCTCCAGCATCACCCAGTTTGGGTCCCCCCGATTTTGAGCCACCAGCTAGCCTGTTGGCCGAAGATAATAGTCCTCACAGCAGTCAACATAGTGGCGGTGTAACCAAAGAAGATCTAATTGGCGTTGACCAACACTCTAGACCATCACAAATGGAATGTCAGTTTAATAATTCAATCGGTGGATCACAGCAACCACAAAAAACGAATACAAAGATGGATATGCATCATTATCCTCAATCGCATGGATATGATGAATATTCAGGCAATGTAGAATCTGTAGCAGGATCTCCGGCCTATCCTCCAGCAGAATCTCCAGTATATCCTCCACCACCAACTGGATATCCTCAACAACAACAACAACAACAGCAGCAGCAGCAGCAACAACAACAACATCCACACCAACAAAAGATAACAAATAATCAAGATGTTACAGCAAAAAGTTTGTCAGGCTTGGAATCTTTGGTTGAACAAATTCCTAACATGAATGATAGTGATGTACAGCATGGTGGACATCACCATCATCATCATCAGTATATGGATGAATCAAATTCAGGCTACATGCCCAATGATTACTCTTGTTCCCCCTCTTTAAATTATTCTTATTCGTCATCGCCTTGTGCACCCCAAGGAAATATGAACAACTTTTCAGTAAGTTCGTTAACAAATGGGGCAAATCATCATCATCAACAAGCCACAATGTCTCAACCTTCGACATTCTCTGTTAGCAATCTTACATCTTCATCGTACCCACCGCCACCACCTACAATAAATTATAATCATCATCATTCGGGTGGTGTTATGATGGACATGGATAGACTACAACAACAGTATCAACAGCCATACAACAATCAGTATGCCAGCTCAATGCAATTTAATGGGGGATTAGGACCACCTGGAAATGGATATTCACATAACACTCACAACATACACATGCCAACTCCAAATTTCCCTTATCCACCTCAAAACTCCATGTCTTATGGTAACAACAATAGTGGTAATGGAGTTTCACCTTATATCCAATCGAGTGGTGGGTATTTGTCTGTAAACCGTATGGATATTGGATATGGTGGTGGTAACTATTAAACTCGCGGAAACGCTGTAAAAAGACTGCGATATTTTCTCTGATATTTTTTCAACCATCGCATTGTATTAATCTCTTTTATCAATTGTTTATAATAATATTATTTGTAAATATTATAATACTTGGTTATATATTCAGGGAACGGTTCATTGACGACTTGTATGCAACTATGAGAATAGTTTGAGTTATTATCTCATGATATTTATCTTTTATCAATCATATTACATTTTTTTCATATCCTGAATTCGATTTAATAACATGTAAATACTCTTATTTTACTTTCATATTTTTATTTAATAAATTTGAGTAAAAAAAAATACGCCGAAGTTACCACAGAGTATTAAATTTACTAACTTCGTATACAATGGCACACTAGATTCTTATGATAAATTTATATTTTTCTCTTTTTATGAAAATTCTACCTTAAAAAAAAAAATAATCTGTTAAATAAAACTATTCTCTATTTGTTCGGCGATATCGTAATTTTGCGATTTTAACTCGAATTTGTTCAATGTCATCTTTTTGCTCAACCAATATTATTGTTATATTATTAGAGTAATACAATATTTTCACGTTACCAATATTTATCCTCCTAAGTATTTTTTGTTTTCGTGTACATTGGTATATTATTTGTTCAAATGGTTCGTGGGTTCCTATCAGTTGATTTATGATTTGTCCGAAAGTATTGTGATTATTATATACATTTTGACTGGGTTTGTGCAATTAAATCAGTTACCTCCGGTTCGTTTAGATTATATTGGTCCAAGAACCGCCAAATTCATAATATATATATATATATATAAAATAAAATGTTATATAGATAGAATACATCAAATTATTAAATTTGACTTAGATTGGACATTCCAAAAAAAAAATAAAAAAATGGAACTTCTTGTTAACAAATGTATGTAATAAATCATAATAAAGGTTTGATACAAAAATCACTGTGTTTCACAACTGTTTCACTTTTAAATAATTTTAAAATGTGCAAGAATTATTTTATTTCAACACAATAATTTTACCCCAGCATATATCCAATTTCAACTGATAATATTATTGCGAAACTCCAAAACGATCACACTTTATTCTAATTATATTATTAAATTAACTTAGGAAAATAACAACTTCTAAGATCTATATTTAATTAATAAGTATAATGTTCTATAATCGCATTCTGAAACTGCATAGATCATATATGTCAGTTATTATTTATTTAACACTTTTTCATTCGATTTCTATGTTTAGTTTACACCATTAGTAGAATTTTAAGTGTATATTATAAAATAGAACTTAACTAATAACATAAGAGGAGCAAATATAATAGCATAGTAAGAGTATTATATATACCATCTGTATTGAGAAGACATTTTGCTTATTGAATGAACATCATTTGATTTTAAATGTGCTTAAATGAAAAATAATACTCATTTCTATTAAATTTTTAAAGATTTCGTTAAAATGTAATGTTTGTATGATGCATGGGTATATTTAGGGGGGTGTGGGGACTTAACAACCGTCCTGTGGAAATCTTATAATCCTCCCTCCAGAATTTTAATCCATCTAAATTAAATGTTGCAAATTTACAAATTTAATTTTACAAATCCATTGATAAACAAAATCTCAGTTTTATGTATCTAAAATTATTTATTAATTAATTAATTTTTATTTGTTTTTATTAATATGTAATAAAAAAAATTGAAATTGTCAAACCATGTTTTATGTGTCAAATTAAATGAAGGATAAAAAATATTCAATGTACATTTATATTAACATCAAAATGAATCTTCTCCAATCTCTATTCATTTATTATTTTCTCCGTTACCATTTTGCGAAAATAACAAAACAATCCCTATTATATTCTTTCATTGTTCTTTGTTATACTTATATAATATATATACATACTTATATATATATATATGTATTTAATTATTTAAAGAAACATTTATGAGAGTAGACTTGATATTATAATTTGCTTGTAGTAAAATTATATTTAATTTGTTTTTATTATTATGATTATTATTATTATACCAATTATTTCAATAGCACTTAAAATATGTTATAATTATTTTTTGTTTGTTTTTTAATAATTATTGAATTTTAATTTTACAATTTTATGAATATATGATCCCTATAAATTTTTTTGTTGGATTTTATGTTTGATACATAATAACAATGCATTATACATCTTTAATATAATTCCTATAAACATTATTTAATACGAATAATACATATTTATATAAATTATTTTTCCCAGTCCTCTTTCGACTTTCATAGAAGTAATATAATCCATGTACTGTAATATTATTCTATGTAACATGGTCTTTAATATTATAGCACACTATGTAAAATCTATAAGACATATTTTAAGCTTAGAACAAAACGTGCCAAAGGATAACACACAAATTGTATACAACTAATATTATGATGTGATTTGGCTCAATTTCGTTCCTTATTTTTATCTTGTGTGCGCGTGTATTTGGTCAATGTTTTAGGGTTCATTAGATTGTCTTATTTTGTTATTGTTTTTTGTCTTGCATACCCATAGTATTTTTTTTTTTTGTAAATCTTGTTAGTGTTAATTCATTCAATGTATTATTTCAATAGTTATGTTGTTAAAAATTGTTTTTTTTTTCAAATATTTGTTAATCTACATTTTAGCTATTCTTTGTATAAAATAATAACTTTTGGGGACTAAAATGGCAAACCGATCATCTTTAAATAACACATTATAACTTCTACAAAATCCAAAATTATTACACATAACTAACATATCTTTTTGTTACTAAAAAATCACTTCAAACATTTTTGTTTTTATGAATACAGATATAATAAAGATCATATCCCACAAATTATTTTGCACTAAATAAAATAACATAAGTTATAAATTAGTTTGATTTTATTTATTTATAACCGTATACATAAAAATTAATTGATTGATTTTTAATCAGAATATCATAATTATAGGTTTTTTTTATCATAAATAGTTCATTTTCTATGTGTTAAATGAATAATTAAAACAAATCTATGATTTATGTAGCAAAAAACAATGCTTTCTCTAAAATAAATAAAATAAGATCAAATTATACATTTCATTCGGTTTTTTTTCATACTTTTACTGATGTTATGTATTTATGAAATTCAAATGAAAAGCAAAAATTAATAGTATAGACAAAAAACCTTGATAAATAATCTCCGCGAAACACTGAACATACTCCTATTTGAAATCTCATTTTTATTTTATTCTTTTAAGATGTATGTACAACGTTTTATTTCAAAATAAGTATGTGTTTAATACATATTATAAATATATATTTTTCACGTTGTAACTTTAATCTATACTTAATTTTGTTTAAGTTAAGATATTAATGTAATCATTTTTTTTTTTAATAATTTCATCAGATTTAACACTAGATACATATAAGATGTTTAGAACAGATATGCATTACAACATATTGCATACCCCTTGCATTATCTTATAAGAGTATTGATGTCCATTTACAAATATGTATCGCTCGAGGAATTATAAAATTGAAATGAAGCATAATTATCTGATGCTAAGATTTAACATTTTCCTAATATATATGCATACAATTTTTCATAATTTTGTGTATATTATTAATCTTAATAAACAAAAATCAGTGAAATAAAAATACAATTGTATTGTTATGATGTGCTCTTCATAGCAGCATATTGTAACTATAATAATAGCATTTTATTATTGCATCAAGCCGACATTTTTGATTCCAAGACTTAACTAACTTTGACTAAAAAGAAAAATGTACATTGTGTAAGATATATAAACGAAACAAGGTGCATTTTGAATTTTTATTTCTTTTTTTAGAAATGTATCCTAGTATTAAACTGTGAATATTTTTCTGATTATTTATTTGTTAATAGTTGAATAGCCAGAAAGAGCTATGTATGTTTGCCTTGGGTTTATTATAATGTATGATATAATTTAATAAAATAATATCGTTTTAGTCTTATTGTTTTATCTGTGGAGTTGAATTGAAAATTTGAATGCATAAAGTTGTATAATTATCATAATTATCATATTATTATTTTAAATATATGAAGCGTCACATTCAGGAAATTGATTAAATTATGTGTATATAATACTTGTATCTATGTTTTTTAATTAATAAAACTATTTGTATTTATATTTACGTCAGGATAATATTATTGTTTTGATATATATTATAATTATAATAATTATTATTATTACTTATTATATTTAATTATTTACTATCCATAAACAATAATTGTAAAATGTCTTTGAAAAATGTTACAATGCAATAAAAATTGAAAACAATGAAAAAAAGTCAAATAAATAAGTAATCGATACAAACAAAATTTAAATACTTAAATTAACCTAAAGCTGGGCACTAACTAGTTACAAAGTTACTTTCGATGTAACTTTCTAACTGAACTCATATTTGGTACTTAAAGTGAATTAATTATAACTTGATGCAAGAAAAATGAAAAGAATTAGATATTATTCATTTTTTTTTTTTTTTTTAGTAAAAATAATCACCAATAAATTGTATTATTCACCACTCCTCATAGATTAACACGAGTTATTGAAATTAAGTTGTGTTGTACCAATTATTATTTAAGATTTTCATTGATAATAATACTAGTAAGTCTTGAAAGAAATATAATATTTTAAGAAAAATATAAATATTTAGTCATGACATCATGGTTGTTTATCTTATATCCAAAGAATAAAATTCAACAAAAATTCATTTTAATTAAGGCTAGTTTTTTTCTGTATATTCCTTAATAATAAGCAATTGAGTTTAAAATAGTGATATTAATGTAAAATGAAAAAAAAAACAATTATGTTATAAATTTCCGCAATTAACTTCATTGTGTTAAGCATGTAAATAATTTCCAAAACTTGTTTTTACCGAATTTTTTTGGTGTCTTGTACTATAACTAAATTAAGTTTTGTAAGTTCAAATAGGTCTTGTTCAGCTTTGAATTGAGTGAATGGAAATTCTGTGCTGTATAATGTATACCATGAAACATATTAAATTTGTCACATTCAAGATAGCCTTATTTATTAACTTTTGTGTAGATAGAAGATATAGTGTAGGTTAGGTTAGGTAATTAATCTTAATCGTACATTAGTACAAGTACCTATAGTCTAAAAGGATAGATCTAGGATTCTATATGGAATGGTACGATTATAATTGTTTTAATAATTTATTAGACACAAAATTGGTAACAATATCCTTACTGAACAAAAATAAAGGACTACACTGGCCCAGGGGGTTGCTGTAACACTCAGCATCATTTGATAGATCCATTGACCATCTCTGAATGCCCTGTACATGCAAACACAAAAGGTAAAAAAATACAAATAAAAAATTTTTTAAGTCTATAGTTTTGATTTTAATTTAGAAAAAATTGTATATTTAGAATTAGTACAAATTGTATGTGAACATAGTGCAATACGTATATTGCTCCTTATTCCAATCATCATTGGTTTGTTTTTGTTGGATTAAAAAAGAAGTCATATTGTCGTGTGTTTAAAGGAAGACATAAAAAGAAATTCTTTTAAAGAATTATACTGGTTAGAGGCTTGGAGCCTTAACCATCCTGGCAATTAGCAATGGCTACAAATAATATTGTTAATTTATTTAAGAAATTCAATTTCAGGACTATTAGCTGTGCTGAAAGGTGGAGTTTTAGACCTAATTGTCCAGCAAAGATGGAAGAAATTTGGTTGTTTTGGCTAATTTTGATTAATTTTTAGGTTCACTATATTTCAATCTAAGTGATTTTTAATATTTATTTTCTTGACTTAAACATGTAATTTATATTTAAACAAACATTGTTCAACAAATGATACTTGATTTTATATTTTTAATTGTATTTTAATACAAATCAGTTTTTCCAATATTTAAATCTCAACTATTGTTAATGCTTAAAAACCTGTAATATTAAATGGTCGATTTGTAGTTAATTGTTGGGCTGTATCATCTTAAACTATTTTGAGTTATATGTTGCTATAACCAACTACCATAATAGTCTGTGGGTACCCACACTAATAACTCCATGACTACGTGGATTGTGGATTTGCAGTACTACTGGTACTCTTAGGTACCTAAATGGAACACATTAGAGTTAGAAAGCAATATAGGTAGTACCTACTTCAGGCCCATCGCCATGGGGGAGGAGGGAGAGGGTGTCATTGATTTAAATGTGATTGAAGTTTCTACAAATCGCAACGAGTCTAGAATGGTGACGGTTTAAGGGTGTAGGTATAACCGTTAGCTGTTAACCTACTAATAAATCATATTTATATAAATAACATGTATAAATCTTGTCTAGGCTTCAAAATACATAAAATTCTTAGTGAAGCGGAATAGGACATGTAGATTTCTTTAATTTGGAAAACACTTACGGTATAGCCTAACTATAAATAATGTTTTGATTATTTTGAAATTTTTGCAA